AGTACTGATCCCTGGGGGACATCACTGGTCAACAGACACCAGCTGGACGCAGCACCATTCACCACCGCTCTGGGCCTGGTCATCCAACCAGTTTTTAATGCAGCAAAGCGTGCACCCATCCAAGCTGTGGACTGCCAGCTTTTCCTGGGGGATGCTGTGGGAGATTGTATCAAATAATTTGCTGAAATTGAGATAGACCACAACCGCAGCCTTCCCCTCATCCACTAGGTGGGTGACCCAGTCATAGAAGGAGATAAGATTGGTCAGACAGGACCTTCCTTTCCTAAACCCATGTTGGCTGGGTCTGATCCCCTGATTGTCTTCTACATGCTGCCTGAGGTGATCCTGCTCTGGCAGGGAGGTTGGACTAGATGATCTTTTGAGGTCCCTTCCACCCCCTTACATTCTATGGTTCTATGACGGCACTCAGGATAATCCATTCCATAACCTTGCCAGGCACCAAGGTCAGGCTGACAGGCCTATAGTTGCCCAGATCCTCCTTCTGGCCCTTCTTATGGATGGGTGCCATGCTGGTCAACCTCCAGTCATCTGGAACCTCCCCAGTTAGCCAGGATCGGTGATAAATGATAGAGAGAGGCTTAGGCAGTTCTTTTGCCAGCTGCCTCAGCACCCTAGGATGAATCCCATCCGGACCCTAATATCCAACCTGAACCTCCCCTGCTGCAACTTGAGGCCGTTTCCCCTTGACCTGTCACTCACCACTAGGGAGAACAGACCAACCCTCACCTCGCTACAGCCTCCTTTCAGGTAGCTGTAGAGAGTGGTAAGATCTTCAGTTTCCTCTTCTCTGGGCTAAACAGCCCCAGATCCCTCAGCAGTGCCTCAGAGGACATATGTTCCAAATTCTTTACCAGCTTGGCAGCCGCCTCTGCACCCTCTCCAGCAGCTCAGTGTCCCTCTTGCAGTGAGGGGCCCAAAACTGGACACAGGACTCGAGGTGAGGCCTCACCAAAGTCGAGTACAGGGGCATGATCACATCCCTGCTCCTGCTGCCCACACCATCACCATTCCTGACACAGGCCAGGATGCCATTGGGCCCAAACCTGACTAACAAAAGAATTCTGTTCTGTATACATCATATTCAGTATGAAGCTGAGAGGTCATGGGAGTTAAGCTCACTTCTTCAGGGGTCAGGATGTGAGGATGACTCGGTCCAGTCTTGCTGCCTTGATCCTTATCCCTGAGTTCCTCAATCTGGTTCCTGTCTGCTGCTGAGTCTGGTCTGGGACTTGCCCAGTGCTTGCTCTGCAGCATCAGTGGTGGTAGCTGTAGGCCAGGGCAAGGGGATGCTGGGGGAAAATGGCTTCAATATTGGGCTTGTATATATTTGTATGTATTTCAATATTTTCATTGTTTCCTTAATAGTACTATTATTGTTTATTAAAGCTATTTTAGTTTTCCTTTACAACCTGTAAGTCTCTGTGCCTCCTTCTCTTTTCCTTCCCCTCTGGAGAGGGAAGAGAGCATCTGCCATTTGTTTTGTGGCCAGCCCAGGCCTGACCCTTCACTGGAGGAGAGTGGATCTTGAAAAGGTGTGAGGAATGAAAAAAAACATAAAAGATTGTAAAATTAAAAAAAAAATCCATTTCCTATCCCAGCATCCATTTTCATGCACGTTACACGGAATAATTCATGTGGCTTGATAAAAATGTATCAAATATTTGGCCTTTAAGTAAAGCACATAACTAAGTAAATAATTTTATATTAGTACTTTTTGATAGTAAAGTCTGTCATTGTAATTTTTTCATATGTAAGCAGTTCTTTTTTTCTAGGTGTGGTAACTGTGCTAAGATGCCAGTGAAACAGAATAGGCATGCTTTGCTTGTTATAACTGTTTCCTTCACTGCTCTTCTAGTACAGGTTTTTGGTACACATTTACCTTTTTAAAGCTTTTCTTCTTCCCCACCCCCCTGCCTTTGTTCAGCTTTTTCAGTGCTTTTCAGTAAGTATCTTATAGTGCTTTGTAATTCCATTTAGAGATACCTAAGTAAGTTCCTGTATGCTGAAAAAATCTGTCATAGGTAGTAATAGTGAGTTTTGAAAATTTAGAGGTACAAAGGAAGGATAGGAAGGACCCATAAAGAATGAAGTTGAAAGCTGAGTCAAGATTTTGGCTTTTGTTTCTAAAGGCCAAAACTAACTGCTTGTTCTTAACCTGTAATAGAAAGCTCTGTTGTCCAAATTGAGCTCCTGCACAGGATTTGATGTATTGACTTGTGGCTTCCAGTACCATACAGTGTCTGCTTAAGAAGATGAAAGCAATGAGTTAAAAATGCTTATTTTTTCTCCTTTAAAGGTGGAAGAGATGGTACAAAACCATATGACATATTCCTTGCAAGATGTAGGGGGAGATGCCAATTGGCAGCTAGTGGTAGAAGAAGGAGAAATGAAGGTAAGTGTTGGGAGTTTTCGTTTAATTGATGACAGACAGAAACTTTCAGTCTGGTGGACTTGGCAATGTTAGATTTACTGCTGGACTCCATCTTAAGGATCTTTTTCAACCTAAATGATTCTGTTCAGTAAGGAAGTTATACTGTTAAAACTTCTGAGACATAGCATTAAGTTAGGACTGCGGTCCACAAGAGCTGTGGCTTCTGATATGTTTATTCATACAAAATTCTGTGTAACTTTTGGGTAGCTTTATTTTTTCAGATTCCTTTCCTAGTCTTTCCTACTTAACACTTGGTATCACAATGTGTAAATTTGATCTACAAAAATGCTACAGACTAGCATGTTACTGTGTTGACTGCTCTACTGTGCTTGTATCAATCCGTATGCATAGCGATAAGGTAGCATAATGATTTTTGGAGTAGAGATTAAAATACCGCTATTTATGTGAATTGGCATGTAACAAGGTTTGCATTGGTAGTTACCAGAGAACATTATTGTAGCAAATCATCCATATTTTAGTCTTCTAGTTAAGTGGGTTTTTTAAACACTTGATGAAATTTTAAGTATTAAAACATATGAAATTTTAAGTATTAAAACATAAAACTGTTTTGACGCATTCTGTTCTACATTTCTTTCTTTATATTTGCCTGTAGGTATACAGAAGAGAGGTGGAAGAGAATGGAATAGTTTTAGATCCTTTGAAAGCAACCCATGCTGTTAAAGGGGTAACAGGGCATGAAGTTTGCCACTACTTCTGGAATGTCGATGTTCGTAATGACTGGGAAAGTAAGGAACTGTTCTTAGGCTTCGTGTATTTATCAGCAAGAATATTGTTTGTAACATTGGCCTAATGTCTGTGCTTGTTTACTGATGGATTTTTTTTTTTTTTCCCACTCTTCCTCTTTCAGCAACCATTGAAAATTTCCATGTTGTGGAAAATTTAGCTGATAATGCAATCATCATTTACCAGACACATAAGGTAATAACACTTCAGCTATATGCATACCTTACTAAGATAGGCTGAGCCATATGTGTTCTAATCTTATTCGGAATACTTTAACATCTTGACAACTTAAAATACTGTTTAGAACAACATTTTGGAACAAATTGTCTATTAAACTGTAACTTTGTCAATTTTTCAAACTTCATAGCATAATTGCGTATGTGTCTGATAGCAGGTGAAGGCTGGTTTTAATCTCTAAATATATCACTATCAGCAAGGGAAAAATCATCTAAAGTAAACAGCAGCAACAAATCAATACTGACTACAAGGAAGAAACCTATATCACTGTATTGTATGTCTTGTTGCAGTAATGCAAACTATTGTTGACCACAGTTAGTTGACACAGAAATTTGAGGTATAATACCAGGTATAACTTTGTTCTTTTAACTTCATTACGTTCTCCCCATCTCTGCCAGTTTTAGCATAAACTTATTAAAATGTTCATTTGATTTATAGCCCAACAGCTGTAAGTTAAAGGTGCAAAAAAATGGGAATGAAGGGTACAGATCTATCTTTAATCTCGCATAACTTGAAGTGGTAGTATGCTCAAATATTAAATATTTTTCTATTACATCTTTACCAGTAATACTTTTGCCTTAAATCTTTTGTAATAGAGGTCTTGTAATTTTGTGTAAGACGGCTGTGTGAACTGTATAGTGTTTTGGTAAAAGCTAGGGTTTTTTCCCATACTGAGTGGCAGGAAAATGGCTTCTATATATTTTCTTATTTTATCAGACATTTTGCTTCTGAAGCTTTCTCTTAGATAATCTCAGTGTACCATATCTGTTTCATGGAAGTAGTAGCTCTTTGAAATAATATTTAAATATTTCTCTTTCCCCCTTCTCTTCTTCTCCCCGCCCTCCTCTCTGCATAAGTAGCTATAGAGGCATCTGTTTATACTTAACTACTAGTTCCATTTGTAGCTTACAAGTATTAACTAAAATGTAAACCTGAGTTTGAGGGATCAAGAGTGGAAATACCTCCTCCTGTTTGTCTACGGAAAAAGTCATTGCAGCTTAGCTTTCTGCATTTCAAAGGTCTTAAACTTTCACGTTAAATTAAATGTAGCTGTATAAGCAGATACACATCTCTACAACATCTCTGTTCCAGTTTTGAAAAACAAATTACTAACTTTCTAAAAGTTTTATTTAAATAACATAGCTGGCCTGGTTTGCCTTCCTTGTTTTTCACATTGTTTAAGGATAGTAAGTACTTCATTTGCAAAACTGGAAAAGCTTATATTCAGGTTTTTCTCTGCAGAGGGTGTGGCCAGCTTCTCAAAGGGATGTGCTGTATTTGTCTGCCATCAGAAAGATACCAGCATTCAGTGAAAATGATCCTGAAACATGGATTGTGTGCAATTTCTCCGTGGAACACGACAGCGCTCCTGTAAGTACTATTTTAATTCTGTCAACTTCTACTTTTAAGATGATGTTTTTCTATTATGTGGTGATGCATGTGCAATACTTAGTGTGAGTGAGATGGGACAGTTATGCAAAAATACTGTTTGAAGCAGCTGATGCACTGATTTCATGAGAGCATTCTGAACCGAAAACTTTGCTTTATCTCAACTGTTGGTAGATCTAAGGTGTTTTGTCAGAATAGAAGCAAAATATCTGGAGATATGAAAACATTTTAAGAATTTTATATGGAATTAAATCAATAACTCTTCAGTACTGTCAGATACAGGAGTAGACTTTGGAAGATATGAGATCTATTAAACCTCCCTCATACACAGTTCTACCTTGTGTCTGTCAGATAGTAGCAATGATTGATTTTGTTGGAGTACTGTTGATTGCTATGCCATTGCCTATTTACAAGGGAAAAGTTACTCACCGATATTTGTAAATGCTGATACATTATTCTTTAAATATTTTACTCGTTCCTTAGAATTATTGATGTAGTTTGCTTGTAATATGTATTAAGAAAGCAGAAACACAAGATTCAGACACTTTAGTTTAATCCTGTCTACATCCACCATGTATCTTTCATTTCATTGACATTCATGTTACATCCATGTAGTGCTAGAATGCAAACTCTCAGAAACAGTGTAAGTAGACTTCATAGTAAGTTAAAATGGCAGTAGTCACGTATGCTTAAAAAAAAATATTCGTTTGAGGCTTACAAATGTTTTCTCATTTTCTGGCAGCTGAATAACCGCTGTGTCCGTGCCAAAATAAATATTGCTATGATTTGTCAGACGTTAGTAAGTCCACCAGAGGGGAACAAGGAAATAAGCAGGGACAACATCCTATGCAAGATTACCTATGTAGCTAATGGTAAGTCTAAAATTTTTCAGTATGACATTAATGATATGTGCTAATTCTGAGGAGCTGAATACTGTCACAAAAAGCCTGATGCAGTTTTCTGTTAAATTTATATATAGCATCACACTTGTGCTCTTTATGCTCAAAAATACTCAAATTAATGTACTGCATGAATCAGTGAATGGGATCATTCATTGTATGGCATTCCAGGGGGAATAAATGGAAGTGGCATGTAGCCCAGTCCTTAAGTGCAGAACTTTGGGGTGGAGAAGGATGGGCAGAAGAAATGTCTGCAACTGGATGACTTCATGTAGCTTTTATTTTCATAATAGTATGGGTTTTTTCATGTATTGCTGTGCCGTTTTTCTCCTCTGATTCATCTTGTGAGGCTGAAAACCTGTTGATAGTAAAAATACAATTCTTGGCCTCAGTGTTAAGAAGGAGCAAATATATTTTGTATGAGGATGTTTGCAAGCTGTATAATCTAGTCTTTTTTTTTTTTTAACTGATAGAGTCTTTAGAACCCTAACTGTATTGTTACTGTACCCAATATTTAGCAGTGTATTGTAGTATTGGAGCTATATACTTACTAGCTCCTCTCCTGTGGCTACAAAACACTTCAAGAGTAGCTCATATGCTTATTACTTTTTGCAGTGTATTAGATGGCTTACTAAAGAGTCAAAATCTGAAACAATAGTTCATTAAATCTTTGCCATATAGGAGTGATGTAATTTGTATTAAATCCTGTACAAATAATACTATATAGTGTTAAATTATGGGGAAGGTGCTTAGTTTCCTTTTTAGACGTTTCTCAATTACTTAAAAAATACATTTTTATTGATAAATTCTGAACTGTGAATATATGGGAAGTGGCAGCTTTTCCAGCAAAATAGTTGCCCTGTGAATTCAAGTGTGGTTTAGAATCAATTCAAGTTTTGTTAAAGCTTTGAAAATAATGTGCAAGAAGACATAAGATGTGACCAATTCTGCAGACTAATGCAGCAGTTACTGAAAAGTTAACTGACTTCCATTTCCTTTGAAATAAGAAGTAACACAAGTTCTTTCTCTTTTTCTCGAAAGTCCTTAGAGAATATCATCTTCCAGTTAGGTGTTCCCCAAAGACTTGGCAACACATCATGTTTAGTGTTTTCTAAATAGCGTCATTACAGAACTGGACTGAACTTGCGTATGATGAGTAGAAAGTGGTACAGTACAACCTGTAAGGGCATAAAAAAAAAAGTTTACTGTTCTTTCCTGGCACTTCAGAAAGAGTTGCAGGAATAACAAACTTAATTTTTCTTTTCTAGCCTTTAGTGAATTTGCTGTGTTTTAATGTCTGTCTTCCTGTCTAATTCTAGTGAACCCAGGAGGATGGGCGCCAGCGTCAGTGTTACGAGCAGTGGCAAAACGAGAATATCCAAAATTCTTGAAGCGTTTCACATCGTACGTTCAAGAGAAAACAGCAGGAAAGCCTATTTTATTCTAGTATTAGCAGGTATGCATTCATTTCTTTTTTCATTCTTGATTCACTGCTGTAAATTTAAGGCCAAACAGAAGTATGCAATCTAGAAGAGTCTTACCATGATTAGTATGAATTCAGTACTTAGTTTTAATACGTGTATGCAATATACTTTTTTAAGATTCTTGTAATCTGTATGTATTATTAGCATGAAAAGTAAAGCTGCACAAGTTATCAAGTATTAGTTTTTTGTAGGCTTTGATTAGTTCATCTTGCAAATTTTTGCAAAATGTCTAATTTATGTAGAAGCGTAGAAGGATGAAGTATTGTTTTTTCTCAGCTATCAGAGGCATTTTACACTTACTTGAAAAGAATACATGCTGAAGTATCTCTACAGCCTCATGGCTGATGAAATATTGTGAAGGTCAAAGCATTCTTTTATATTGACAGAATTTTTTTGACCTAGGAATTTTATTAATGGCACTTTCCTGACAGACTAGTGTCAATTACTGGAGTATTTACTGGCTGTATACTTCATTATATTATATTATACTTCAGAATAGGACCTACATAATCCATGAGGAAA